TGTGAATGTGTGTGTTGCTTGCTTGCTTTCTTGCACATTTACTTTGTTACCTGCAGTTTCAGGTGTCTCCGGGTTGTGGAGTGCCTCACCCCTTCTAATTACTTTGGTTCTCACATCTGAAATGGATCAGTTGGTTTGGGTAGCATCAGGCATGGGCCTTCTCCATTCTGGGGCTATACATGCTCAAAAGTAGTTTTGTAAGGGCCTGTTTTTTCTTAGTGGAAACAGTAGTTTTCCAGAGAAAGGTATGCAAGTGGACATGGAATGATGGATGTTCCCAGTCAAGTAGTAGGCATACAAGCTGTCCAGGCAGCCCTCTGATCCAGAAGTACAGCTCAGCCTCTTTGTAGTTATAAAACTTGAAAAGCACTCAGAACAGAGTTATCTTCGGTCTGTGAAATGACCACACATTGTTGTAATGGGCTATGCAATACTCAGGTTTCATTTCACATGTTATATTTACAGGGGGCATTCAGTAACAGGGTATGAGTACTGTGTACTAAAATATATCAGATTCTTTTCTTATTTGGAGACAGGGCCTTATGATTGGAAGATTAGTTATAGCTGAGGAAGACCTTGAACTTCTTATTTTCTTTTTCCCTGTGCTGGGATTATAGGTGTGTATGCTCCCATCATTGGGTTGGGGATTGCATCTTGGGTCCCATTTATGCTAGGCAAGCATTCTACCAAATTAAATCTGTGTACTCTAGAACACACTAAGCTCTAAGTGTGAATAAAACCTGTTCCTGAAACTTTTGGCTTGTAGATTTCAATAATCCCAGGAACATGACAGTGCCTTCATTCTTAGAAGTGCTACTGATTGTAAATGTAAACATTCTCATGGTTTCCAGTACGAGGAAGGTGTGTGTTACCAGAGTACTTGGGGTTGTGAGAGATAAATCATAAAAGGGAAAAGAGCCCTACGCTGTAAGGAAGACAAACAAGGGATCAAGACAGGCACCAGGCAGGAGAGGTGAGGGGAGTGGGTGAGTGCTGGAGGAATATCTTCCAGCCCTGCATTAGAGAATTGAGGAAAGCTAAAACTTTTAAGTAACATTTTAAGTGTTTTTAGAAGTGCTGTGGTGTAGCAGCATTTAGAGAGTTGGTGGTGGTTTCACTTTGGGTGCATGTCAGCTATAAAGTTGTCCAAAGTTGAATTGTTTTTTTGTCCCCCATGCTGGTTTTACTACCGTAGCCCTCAGTCTATTGCTCTTTACTCTGTTGTTACTACATCCTGACTCACTTTTATGTAAAGATGAGGCATTTTTTGAATTTTTGTTTTTACAAACAAAGTCTTGCTGTGTTAGCCCAGGCTGGCCAAAAACTTTCCATACCCCTGTCTTAGCCTCCTGAGTACTGGGATTGCAGGCTTTGTGTTACAAGCGCAGCAAAGTTGTAGTTGTTACTGATTTTGTTGAAAGTACACTTCTTTTATACAGTTCTTTGTTGTAGGGATACATAGTTGACAGCCTACAATTTTAGAAAAGGTTCTTTCATCCTTTAGGATGCGCTCAGGTGACCATGCTTGCCTAGCATCCTCTGGCTCCAGTGCAGTGAGCAGTTTTACAGCCTAATGAGAAGATGTGTCTTGAAACTGCAGTCCAGCAAGAGAAGTTGTCCTAATGAGTTTGGACAGCCTGCAGAACTGTTTCCAAACTGATCTTGATACAGTAACCTGTGCAGGAGGAATCTGAGGTTGCAGGTAGTTTTAGAAGTGAAAGCCTTCCTGAGAGAAGGATCAGAGAGTAGAAGTGCACATGACATTGCGGGTTCTCTGCATCAGTCCAGCTTTGCCCTGCTGCTGTGCTGCACTTGGAGATCGAATGGATTGATGCCCCCTTGTGGTCTGTTATCAAAATAAATAGCATAAACAAATAAGCACAAGAGAGCTCACTGCATGTTAAACCCTCCCTTCTCATTCCTTTATAAAGTAATGTTTAAAAATCTATTTCTAAGGAGAACAAACTGTTAGTTTTTTGTTTTTATTTGTTTTTTTACAGTATACAGTTTGTCAGGCATGATTTTGATCCTTTGTAACAGAACGTGTAGGTGCTGTGCTGAGGAGGACATGGAGAAGTGGCAGCAGTAACCGCAGATGCAGCAGCCGTTCCTGCCACGGTTACACTTTCCGAGGTTGGAGGCAGACTTGTCCAAGGCATTGTGCACTTGGGGTCTGAGAGTTGTGGTTTAGAACGGATTTCATGTGGCCACTTCTGGGACGAGTTATTTCATCTCAGAAAGCATGCTTCCTTTCCTTTCAAAGAGGTTAAGACCTGTGTCATTGAAGTGTTTGAATGGACTGTCATATGAAGTCTTAGGTCTGTACCTCAGTGTACAGATGAGTGTATATTCACAGGGTTGTTAGTGATAGTTTGTTTAAACAGGGCTTTGTCAGGTAAGGGTCCCTTTTCTTTACTGTGGCCTTACTGCTATATTACTGTGTTAGCATGTATTTATAAATGTTTAGTTATTATATTGAACTTCCTGGTTAATTATTTTAGTAGTACAAGCCTGCTAAGTAACTATTTTTTAAAATATTACAGAGACTTTTTCGGCATAATATTTGCAAGCTTGGACACTTAATCACAAAAGTGGTAAAACACCTTTTGTTGTTTTGTTTATTTTTAGAGACTTGCCTGTAGAATCAGACCCCTGTCTTACTATCATCACATAATAGTTTAAGAAACTAGCATGGCAGAAGAAATTAAATAAGTTGGTGTTAACTTCACAGAAACGTCAGATTTTACAACTCAGGTGCATTCAGCTTTGAATCTGGATTTTGTCTTTTTTAGAATTTTTCCCTTGGCAGTTATATTAAAAACATCTCAAAAAATTAGCTTTTTGATGATATGTGTGTGTGTGTACATATATAATTATGCTTTTGGTCACAGGAAACTCGTTACCCACTATTCCATGCATTTCCATATCTGCCTCCTTGGAAATACTTTCCTCTAATTTCCAGGGTCCTGCTTCTGTTGTATATGTTTGTTCACTGTGTGTGGTGTTCTGAATGCTGTGTGAAACCCAGGAATACTGCATACATAAAGTGGTATTTTTTTTTTTTGGTAGTGAGAATGTGGCTTGTACAGTAATTTTGTTGCTGGTCTGTCTTTGAATATCTGCTTAGGGGGACTATTTTAGGAAAGAAAAGGGGTGGGGAGTGAGGAAGCGTGACTAGAACCAGGCAGAAGAGCTGTGTGGGTGATGGCAAGAACACATGCCATGCTACCAGTGACTTGTTTTTAAACATGAAAAGCGTGTGTGCCAAATTTACATATTTACTAATTAAAAAGGCTTCCTGGAAACATTAAGTAGACTATCTTCCATAACCTTTAACACCATTACTAATGGATATAGCCTAGAAAATTTCATCGAAGGTCCTTTAAATAATGTAAATGATTATGAATATGTAACTAGTTAATATGCAGCTACGAAAGGATTATCATGTAGAGGTTAATGAACACTCTGCTCTTATGGGTTGCAGGGTTTTTCTTTCTGTGCTTTTGGCTCACTTCATACTTGGAAACATTCCTGCTAGGACTGGAAACATCCTGACTGTTTTTGGATCTCATCTTAATGGGGTTCTTAAATAGAAACTTCATAAATTTCTTTTTGCAAAGTTTTGTTTTTTCTTTTTCAGTTTATATCTAATTCTGTTTGTCTTTTATAATTTCTGCCAAGTCAGAAACAGTGATATGGACTGATATGACTTTAGTAGACTCTTACAGATGTTAAGTCAGTGCTCTATTATATATTACCACTGTTATTAAGTGTTGCTGTGTGATTGATACTTACTGCAGATCTTCATTCTGTGGGGACTTTTTATGCTGAGTTAATGTGCAGTATGGCCGAGTATCTGATTACAGCATGTATTTTGGGTTGGGATTGCTGCCTTACTATTTAAAATGTCCAAAAGGGAGGACAGGGTTTTTTTGTTTTGTTTTGTTTTCTTTTTGGAATTAAATGTTAGAATAGAGGAATTCAGTGACAACACTAAAAGTGATTTTTGGGATGTGTGTGTGACACATTTTGGATAATCAAGAAATAGGATTGCTCTGAGAACCTGGAACTGAAACTAGGGCATGCTGCTGTCTTCCTCATGTGGCCTCCTCTGCATTCTACCTTTTGTGCCTTAGTTTCCCTGTCTTTAAAATGGCGCTATAGCACTCTAGATTAATATTTGACAGTTTTTATGGATGAGAACTCAAAAATAGGTGATTAGCAGTTTGTGAAAATAGTATTAATTTTAAAATTTCGACTTAACTGTAATTTTTCTGATTGCATTTTTTTCTGTACTGATTGTTACTTTTGTTTTCTTAATATTTGTGAATCTACTGAAATATCTTAAAGGGAAGCATAACTCTTATGCATAATACCATTCTTTTAATATTATAAACAGCTTAAATTGGGTGTCAAGTGCTTACCATTTTATCACAATTCATTGTGGGGGGAATGAGCTGTTCAGAGCATCCCTTTATCCCAAGTATTTCTTCTTGGAAACAGTAGAAAAATGAATTCATTTTTAATACATCAGACTAAAAATCACAGGTGGAAACATTTGGAGATAATGCTGACAAAATAAAATATTTTCACTACTGTCATTTTTTTCCTGCTGAAATGTGGATGTTACATTGGTTTCTTGTTGTTTATAATATTTGTGTATTCTAGAAAATATGTAACTTTGAAAATGGTCTGTAGATTGTACAAAATGCAAGTTATCTTATATCACATGTCACCTAATAGTTATGAAGCAGGTTCTGTACCAGAGTCTGAATTGGAAAGCTGTCATTTGTTCTGCAGTTATCAGCCTGCGTTAGAGGGCTGTGATAAAGTGCATTGCTTAAAAACTAACATACCCATCTTTGTACCTCTGACAAATAAAAATGTCCACTGAGGTGTTAGTAAATCTGTAAAGACACTGCTGTAGTTTTCTGATGCTGATTTTTTGTCTCTATGCCTAGCCCTGTTTTTTCATGAGTAGTTGTCTGTTTTCATGACAGGTGGTCACTAACTGCCAAGAGAAAATCCAGCATTGGTGAGTGAAAGATGCTTTTATTATAATCCTGAAATACAGAGGGAGTCCCTACTTCTATTTAAATAACGATGTGCATTGGGGTATATGTGTGAGTGTGTGTGTTTGTGTGCATGCTGTGTAGGAGAGAGCTAGAGAGCAGTAATTGAATTGTAGTGATCTCCATTTTGAATGTCTTTGATACTAATTTACATTGTCTTTAACCCTTCTTAGAGTTATACATGAACCAATTTTCTAAAATTTTGTCAGCATCTGTGTTGGTTCTAATCCCTCCTTTTCATTTACAAAAATTGAATAATATTAATCTCATTTTGAAGTAGAAACCGAGACATTTGTTTTTGAACTTAACTTTGTTTTGGGGATATTTCTTAATGTTTGTAGTAGAAAATAATTGGAATCAGTTGTTTAAAAATAATATTGGAAAAAAACAATATTGGAAATAGAACACAGATTTTTTTCTCAAGTTTGATAAAGCTAATTAATCTGCATTTTAGAGCCTGCTTTATGGCTTGTACTTTTTTTTTTAAGAGAGAAAGCATGTCTGTTTTGATGTGCTAATCTATAGTTAATAGGACAATGCCTGGTAAATAATGTGCTTTCTATTCTATTGCTTCTGAGGAAAATGCTCAATTTAATGGTGAATAAAATCTTATATTAGGAGTTGTCATGAGGTATGGCTGTTGATCTTACAGATATCAAATTACAGTCTATCCATGCTGTGTTTACGAAGATTTTACTGAGAGAACAACAGGAGCTGTCTTGATTATTGTCTGCAGGGTTATTGCAAAATCATCGTAACTGCCCCTTTAGTGGTGAGATTAAACCTTCGGTTATACACCATCAAGCATATAATATTTTAAATTTATTTTAAAAGGCTTTTTCTTCATGCCTGAGAGATCTCCAAGGAAATAATTTATAGTTAGTGTATATCAAATGTTTTTGGTTTAAATGCACATAGGCTGCAAGCAATGGATAAGAGTGAAGATCGGTGCAATCTGTACCCATCATCTTATTCAATTTGGACTATTTGCTTGCGGAAACCAATCTAAAACTAATAATACCCACTTTATAAATAAAAATCCAGGACTTCATTAATTTTCAATAAATGCAGTGTTGTAATTGCATCCACTGGTGGTGTAGGTCTGTCAACATTTCCATAATGGACCGTTCACTTTGCACTGTACATTCATTTCAGCTTAAAATGCGAAGTGTGTGCAAGTCCCTGGCCAGAGAAAGCTTTTCTTTTGTAGATTTGGCCAAAGTGATGTATTTATGAGTAGTCCTTAGAGGCAATTTCATTCCATGGACATGTGCGTCTTGATTTTGGTAAGGGGTTCAGAAATAAGAAAAGGATGCATTCACCTAGAACAGACTCCAGCATGCATGAACCTGGAATTAAGATCCTGCTTGATAAAATCCTTCCGCTGGTGGAGAATTCTTGAGGACGATGGACATGTTTTCATCTTGCTGTCCACTCAGTCTTTCCTTCTGTGTTTGACACAGAATAGTTCATTAATGAATATTGAATAAGTGAAGGTGGAATTTGTAGTTGTTTCAGCTACACGATTTTATTTACAAACAGCACTGCAGTGTGCAGTGTACAGATCTGGAGAGTAGTGACAGATGGAGCCCTGACACTTAGGGCAGAGCAGGATCCTAGACCCTTCGTCTCAGTTCAGTGTGCTAAAGGCCTCTAAACTGCAGAAGACTGGCACATTTGCCTGTACAGTAGTTGAAAGTTTGTACCTTGTTTATATGTTAAAGATTACAATTCTTTTTCCTTCATTAAATTTTTTTTCTGCTCTGAATCACTTCTGACAGGACTTAGGAAACAGTATTTTATTTGCCTATATATAGTATCATAATGCTGCTTGAATCTAAATGACCAGTGCATTCTGAACTCATTTAATATGCTCAGAAATTGAAAAGGAAATGTCCACTTTCTTACCAAAGTCAGGCAGTAGGAATTCAGAGATTGTGGTAATCTTGTGCTGTCTTTACCTCTCACACCTTCAGGCAGAGAAGACCTTCCTGCCACTGGCAAGACTGAGCTGACTGGCCTCGAACTCACAGAGATCTGCCTGCCTCTGCCTCCCAAGTGCTGGGATTAAAGGCATGCCGCCACCATCCAGCATCTGGAGCCTTCTTAAACATGCTTTAGATACAATTTTTAAAAGCCGATTGCTTTTAATTCTTTGACTTGTGGCATTAGCCAGTCTAAAGTGCAGTTTAGGTAGCTATGCCCTCCTCTACATGGATATCTGATAATGTTAGAGGAAGAGCAAAGTAAATGACTTTAAAGATGCAACTCTTTTGCTAGTGGTGTTGATGTGTAATTTAAAAGGGTTCTTTTACTTAGAAACAAATAATGTTGGACAAAAAGTAAAAATATTTGTAGAAAAATAGAAGTGAAAGTAGCCTGGGGCCATTTTAGGACCGACTGAGAAAACCAAGTTCCAGGACTCTGATGGACTAAGAAATTAATAGTATTTGTTCAGTTAAGAGCAACTAAAAAAGGAAATATTTGAATCTAGAGGATAAGAACCATGTAGAATTCTGTTAATACTAATAGTGGTTTTCAGTTTGGCCAGAATTTAAGTTCTCCTTTTAAAATTTTTTAAAATAATGCAACTTGTGCTCGCTTCGGCAGCACATATACTAAAATTGGAACGATACAGAGAAGATTAGCATGGCCCCTGCGCAAGGATGACACGCAAATTCGTGAAGCGTTCCATAAAAAAAAAAATAATGCAACTTTTTAGCCATGTGGTTGTGGTGTAAGCCTTGAATCCAGCACTTGGGAGGCAGACGTAGGCAGATCTCTTTGAGTTCAAGGCCAGCCTGGTCAGCAGAGTGAGTTCCAGAACAACCAGGCCAACACAGGGAAATCCTTTCTTAAAACTAAATGCAAACAAGCAAGCCCAAAGCCTTATTTGTCTATCATTTTTACTTCACACAGGAAAATAAGATGCTACAGACTTATTTTCTCCTTGAATATGAATGTGAGGTCTGTTTGGTCCACTTGAAGCTGGTGGGGGTTATTTGCATCTTTTTTTTTTCTTACATTCTTGTATAGCATTTGAGTTCTGTCATTTGCAGCCTGGAGCAGTTACACTAAGAACCTGCAGTTTTCTTCAAGGCAGATATACTGCCACCTGACTCACAGGGCCTCCGTGTGTGTTCAGCCTTTTGTTCAAGAATTAAGAGCAGATACTCTGTCTTTTTGGAAAGTTAGCGATGTTGTATAAATAAGGCAAAAGAATAAAAATTTCACTGTTCCATACACATTTGTGAAAAATGTTTTATATCCATGCTATCTTATTTGTTTGTCTGGGTCTTATCTTCCACTATGTCCCAGACTGGCCTGGAATTTGTGGCAGTCCTCCTGCCTCAGCTTCCCAAAGTACTGGACTTCTAGACAGGTGCTACCATGCCCAGTCACACGGTATCTTTTTATCAGGCAGAAAGTTGGCTTTCTCAACAATTTTTTTTTTTCGAGACAGGGTTCCTATGTAGCTTTGGAGCCTGACCTAGAACTAGCTCTTGTAGACCAGGCTGGCCTCGAACTCACAGAGATCCACCTGCCTCTGCCTGGTGCTGGGATTAAAGGCATGCGCCGCCACCACCCGGCTTCTCAACATATTCTTAGAGCTGTGTGTGCCTCTTTTAAATAAGTTTTTTGATGAAAAGCAGTATAGTCAGCCTGTAGGTGTCCATCACTTAGTGTCAGTAGTTGTCAGCTTGATTAGCATTGGAAGCACAGGCTTGGCATCACAGGATTTAGCTGCCTAAGTTGAAGGACATCCTAGGCTAAGTAGGACTGTTAGCAGAGCTTGCTGTGTGTTTGTGGCATTTATCCCAGCATCCTTTCCTTTTATATGACATCGTGGAAGCTGCAAAGCCACATTATGATGTTCAGAGGAACTTTTTGAGCCAGACAGATTCAGAAAGTGAAGAAATGACTATCTTTTGCTAGAACAAAAAAATTATGGCCATTTTTAGTATAAGGCAGATGATTCCTGTTGGCCTGGTCTCACAAGAAAGACTCATTGCTTTGTGTTGCTTATGGGATTAAATAAAAGTAGTGCCTGTGGATGGAGCATACATAGTTAAATCATTTGCATGGAGGCCTTGTTTGTAACCATAGATTGTATGCAATGAAGGTGTAGAAATAGCTTGCTTGTGGGCTGGAGAGAAATTTCTCAGTGGTTTGAGTACATACTGCTCTTTCAGGGGACCCAAGTTGGTTTTCCAGCACCTATACCATACAGCTGCAACACCTGTAACTCTAGTTCCAGGATATCCAATGCCCTTGGCCTTCTTGGGCACCTGCACTACACGTACAACCACTATACATATAATTAAAAAGAAAAAAATACCTTATTTCCTTTAAGGCTTATAAGAGGATCTTAGGTAGTGAAGAAATCTAGTATTAAATTATATAGCCAACTTAAAATGAAAATATAGTATTTTATTTGTGCATGTGTTTAGTATTGCAAAGAGTAGCTTAAATTTGATGAACTTGGAAACACTTGAGCATATGAGTTTTGAGAGAGAAATTGTAAAACAAATGCTTGATATTTGTTACTTTTAAAAAGAAAACTGGATAAAAATTACTATTTGGATACTAGTTTTTGTTATAGTTTATGGTGATAGTAGTTAGTTGGAAGTAGAAACACATACTCTGCTTTACTATTAGGACAGGGGAAAATGCATGCACACATGTATGCTTCTATCTTATGCACACACACACATATACATACAAATGTAGAGAGCATATCTGCTTGTCTGATGTTGTTGAGGGAAGAATTTGTCCCATAAACACTTTTTCCCCCCAGTTTTGGTATCCCAGGGTGGAGTGGAACTTTACTGTGGAACTCAGGCTGCTCCCAGAGTCCCAGTCATCCTCCTGCCTCAGCTTCCCAAGTGCTAAGATTACAAGTATAAACCACCATATCTGGCATCACTGAATATTTCTTCCTAACAATTCCTGTGAATACTTG